TTTTTTTTTTTTCTTTTTTTTTTTTTTTTTTTTTTTTTTTTTTTTTTTTTTTTTTTTTTTTTTTGCGGTATGTGAGCCTCTCACTGTTGTGGTCTCTCCCATTGTGGAGCACAGGCTCCGGACGCACATAGCTCACGGGCCCAGCTGCTCTGCGGCACGTGGGATCTTCCCGGACCAGGGCACGAACCCATGTCCCCTGCGTCGGCAGCGGACTCTCAACCACTGCACCACTAGCGAAGCCCTTCTCTTCTGTGTTTTTCTGAAAGTTTTATAGTTTTATGTTTTACTGTTGATCTGATCTTTGGGAGAAAGGATTCAGTCTTTCATCACTAAGTATGATACTAGGTGTAAGAGTTTTGTGGATGTTGTCTATCAGGTTGAGGAACTAGTTTACTGAGAGCTTTTGTCATGAATGGGTGTTGGATTTTGTCAGATTTGGGGGAGTCAATTGATAGGTTCTTTCTTCTTTAGGTTGTTGATGTGGTAGATTACATTGATGGATTTTCAATCGCTGAATCAGCTTTGCATTTTGGAATAAATCCCACTTGATTGTATTATTTTTATGTATTGCTGAATTCTATTTGCTAATATTTTGTTGAAGTATTTTATATTTAAGTTCATGTCAGATGTTGATCTATATTTTTCGTTATTTATACTGTCTTTGTCCAATTTTGGTATCACGCTGATACCTCATAAAATGTATTGGGAAATGTTCCCATCTCATTTATTTTCTGTGTGTGATTTGTGAAATTACACAGTTTTAGAAATTATGTTAATTCTTCTTTAAATGTTTGATAGAATTCTCCAGTGAAACCTTCTTGACCTGGAGATTTTAAATTACGTATTCCATTTCCTCAATTGTTAAGGACAATTCAGGTTTTCTGTTTCTTCTTGGCTGAACACTTTCTCTTTTCAAGAACAAACACTTGTAGCTCCACAGTCAGACTCTTCACATTGTATAATCATCTGTAGACTTTAGATTTCTAAACCATTTTGAACTTTAGTGAAAACCAAAATTATTAGTAACATGGGCCAATGAAAAAAATAAACCAGTTTCTCTCAGACTAGCTTGCAGAAAGCTAATTTCAGTATTCTGAAATTTTCATGAAAGATTTTATCACAATCTAATAATGAGTATATGTTGGGACATAGCTCAAAGTGGGTAGAACAGATGAAAAGCAAAATATTTTGAAAAACACCATTTCAGATGATTCTGAGTTCCCCTCCTATCAATTTGAGGACCAGTACTTAAGTGGACATTAACATTTGTCAGAATTAGGTTAGCATTAAGGACAGGGTATGTTTATGTTTATCTAAGGGGTGCTGAAAAGCCCTCCTGAGGCAAAAATACCATCTTAGTTGGCATTTGGTGTAACAGTTCAGATGCCACAAAAATATAAACTGTCCTCTGGCATCCTACAATACCTTATATATTTTAGGGAGATTATTTCCTTGCTTCTAAAAGTTGAATATATTGATTTCCTGTATTCACCACTGTTATGAAGAAATCTATTTAATTGATTATTATATTTTTTTGCAACTGTAACCTAGAAAGACTTTATTATCCAAGTATTTATTTTACAGTTACATATAATTGTATATATTTTGATAACATAAACCACAGCATACTGTTAAATGGTATATCCTTTAAGTAATAGTTTACTTAATGCATTATGTTGTTAAATGGTTAAATATGGACCCTCAATTTTTTAATGATGCTTAGCTCAAAATAATCTTTATTTACTTGTTTATTACATCCTTTTTTGTAATAAACTTTTAAATTTTAGAGTAGTTTTAGATTTACAAGAGGAAAAGATTGAAGTTATTAGAAAAAGTTAATTCATGGATCAAGATGATGGTGAAGTTGTTAGAGGAGAAAGGAAGAGCCCATGAAGGTTTAGAGGCAAATAAAAAGTGTAGAGCAGATATGTGCTTCCCATACCTAGACATTCTGGTTTAATTGGTTTTCTTTGGGGGGTGGTCAACACATTGACATTTTAAAAAACATGCTCTAGGTAATTCTAGTGTGCAGCCAGTATAGAGACAGGGAAGCTAAGAAGCAGGTTCATGATTCACAGCTTTTTAAAATTTAATTTCGTTGAGGAACAATGGGAATGGATGAAGCCTTATTAGTTATTTGGATGACCATATAGCATTGACAAGGATCCTTTATGAAACTAGAATACTCAGATTTTTAGTGAAGAATCTCTAGAATTAAATGATTTCTTCCCCAATACTCAGCAATTTAGGAGCAAGAACACCCTCCATAGGGATTAACCTGTTTGCTTTATTCTACGAAGTGGATTAATCGGCACATATTCTGAGAATGCTAGTGAGAGTATATCTGAAATGTATAACTGTGGGTTAAAAGTTGGTTAGGGGGGTCAAAGAAGCCAGGGGACAGCTGATAAACTAGGTGTGATACAATTAAGCTAGATTTTCACAAGAGTGAATGAGAGGTTTTGTGTGAAAGGAGGACGGGGTTGAAAATTAGGAAGTTGTAAAGGGTTGATTAAATAAATGAGTAAATTGCTAAAGTATAATGTAGATGATTGTGGATATAATAGAGAAGCTTTAGGAATGATAAGGCTGGGGTCACATCTAGATTATAAACATGTATGTCAAAATAACTCAGGATTTTAATGGAACTGGAGAGGAAAAATATTAAGTGAGCTGAAAGAGGGATGTCTTGGAGTTTATTGGATGAGGTTGATAGATTTACATTATAGAGTAATATAAATTTAAAAGGAGGATCTGTTAAATAATTGTGATTGAAAAGTGGTCTGAGATCTACTGTCATTGAGCCAAGAGAGTACCGAATGTGACCCATATGAGCAGAGTGAATGAAAGAGATCTCAAGGGGACAGCCGAGATGGAAAGGTAAAGAGGAGTTTCAAGAAAAATTTTCAAGAAAAAGTATTCAAATTATATTCTGTATTATAAATTAAGTGCCTCAGAGGGAGTTGTAGATTCTTTGAGAAAGGCACTCTATCATCAGCAGTCATTTTTGTTTAAAAACTTGAATTCTCCTGGGTCCTTCTGTGTCAGTGTAATTTGGGACCATTTCTATAATACTGCTATAATTTTTTAATAATTTTGTAGAGTCATTGAAATGTTCATAGCTATAAGTTTAAAAGATTAGTGCTTTCCTTTGTGAGACTTTTTCTGCTTTTTTCTTTTCTTTAAGAAAAA